TTTAATTTTGTTAATTTTTGTTTAACAAAGGACACAATGTTCAAAATTAACAGTCGATTGTCAGACCAGGATATTTGTGCCCAGGTGGCATGGCTCAATGGTTGAGTGTCGACCTATGAACCAGGAGGTCATGGTTCGATTCCCAGTCAGGGCAAGGAGCATGCAAGAGGCAGCAGATCAATGATTCTCTCATCATTGATGTTTCTATCTCTCTTTCTCTCCCTCTGCCTTCCTTCTCTGAAGTCAATAAAAAATAAAATTATTGCTCATGGGCCAAATCTGGCCTACTGTTTGCTCTTTTTTGTTTGTTTTTAAATAACTGGCGAGTTAAAAATGGTTTTTACATTTTAAAATAGTTGAAAAAAATTCATTGGTAATATTCTATGACTATAAAGTGACATGAAATTCAAATTTGTGTTTATAAATAATGTTTCATTGCGACACAACCATGTTCATTCATTTACATTTTACAAATGGTTGCTTTCTGGTTCATACTTTTTACATCCCATTAAAGAAGTATTTATTTACCCAAGGGCACAATTTTCCTCAATATTGTCTTCTAGAAATTTTATAGTTTCAGTCATTACATTCATTTCTGTAGTCCATTGATTATAGTTCTGTAATATATTGAGTTAGTTTTAATATAAGATGTGAGGTAAGAATTGAAGTTCATTTTTTCACACATGAATTTCCCATTGCTTAAAAGACTTTCTTTTTTTCTCTAATTAATTACCTTGGAACTTTAAAAAAAAAATCAATGACCATTTAAATATTGGACTATTTTTGGACTCTATTATTTTTCATTGTCATATGTGTTTCTCCTTTGCCAATGCCATATTGATTTGATTATTTGTGTAGCTTTTACAGTAAGTCTTGAAATCAGTTATTGTTTTAGCCTTCTTTTTCAAAATATTTTGCTTATTCTAGGAATTATACTTTTCCATATACATTTTAGAATTACCTTGTGAATTTCTTCGAAAAATTATGCTGAGATTTTGTGATGTCATTGAATCAATAGATTGATTTGTAGAGAATCAATATCTTTTTTTCTTTTTTTGTTTTGTTTTGTTAATTCTCACCCGAGGTAGATATATATAACTGCATATGTTTTGCAAAATTCACTGAAGTGTATTATCTGAAAGGGGTGAATTTTACCATGCATAAATTATACCTAAGAGAAAAACTGACTTTAAAGAAATTAGTTTCACAGCGCTAACCTTAAGTTAGTAGGTAAATTAAAAGTAGAGCTCTGTGAATGAGCCCTTATTATCTACTTAATCACAAAGCATACTTTCTTTTTCACATAAACCAATAAATTCAAATAGCCATGTCATTGATCTTTAGAGAGTTGAAGGCAAGGGGAGAGACAGAGAGAAACATTGAAGCGAGAAAGACACAGCAATTGATTGTCTCCCACAGGCACCCCGACCCATATTGAGCCTGCAACCTAGGTATGTGCCTTCGCTCAGAATCGAACCTGGGACCCTTCAGTCCTTGGACCGACACTCTAATCACTGAGCAAAACCAGCTAGGGCCATTTTAATATTCTTTACAATAGAATAAATCGTTTTCTGGATGACTGTAGACATGTAAGCTGTGTGATAGTATGCAGAGACATCACCGTACAGGAGTTCTGATTGGTGCATAGTCTTCAATAATTACAAGGTGTTACTTGAATGAAACTGTTGTCAAAGCAGTAAGACTGCATTTATGCATCCAGCATTTTCAGGATTGTTGGTAAACCTGGGCATATTTTTCTCCAATAATTTTGTCTCTTGTTATTACAAGGCATAACTTGCTCACGTACACCTCGTTGACAGTACCTTTGGTAACAGTGCCTGAAGTTGTATAAAGTGGGGATGATGGATTCTTCTTTACACCAAGTATTGGCAGGCAAAAGGTGGCTTTCAGTTCAGGATGTGTTGTTACATGGGCCTTCTTGAAACGTAAACCCATTGGCCTAATGAATCTTCCATATTTAGGTGGTTTTTGAGTAAAGCCATCTCCAACAAAGCACTTTAGTAACCATCCTCCTCCACGCCTTTTTCTTTCTCTTTCTTGTTCAAATAACTTTTAATACCTCTGTTTCTCCCTGAGCATGAACTTTGGGCAGAGGGACTTCCCATTTTCCAGCTTCCTTTCCTCTCTTTGTTTTTGTTTAATCATATTGGAAAGTACTTTAGCTTGGGTTGTCCCTCTCTGTCCAGTAGATAGGCAGGTACTGCTCCTTGTGGAGTCTTTTCATCATTCTTTTGTTTGGTGTTTCTCTTTTTATGCATCTTGATAGTCTTTTTCATTTGTATTTTCTCAGCATGGCGCTGTTTACAGTAGAGCTTAGCCTTCAGACCAGTCATCTTTTTTTGCCTTTGAACATTCATGAGCCTCTCGACCTTCCTTCTTTCTCTTCTCATGGTAATCCAAACAATATCCATAGCGTTTATGGTGTAACTCAGTATTCTTATTTTGTGGCATGTTTTATATTTTTAGCATTTCCATTTGACTCTTACAGTTTCTGCTTTAATACTCTATCTGTTTATGCATTATGTTTTTCTATATATCTTTCACCTTAACAATTTTAAAATTTATTGATGAGAGAAAGAGAGAGAGAGAGAGAGAGAGAGAGAGAGAGATGGATTTGTTGTTCTACTTATTTATGCATTCATTGGTTGATGCTTGTATGTACCCTGACCGGAGATTGAACCCACAACCTTGGCATATCAAGAGGATGCTCTAATCAACTGAGCTATCCGGCCAGGGCCTACCTTAACAATTTCAATTATATAAATGTCTGTCTCTGATAATTTCATCAGCCTTGTCATCCCTGAATCTAATTATATTGGCTATTTTATCACTTGACAATGGGTTTTTTAATTCTTGTTATTTCCCCTAGAGTCTCATGGGTTTGAATTGTGTTTATTCTTTAAAGTGGGCATGCCTTTTATGTCAGACCATTAATGTTGGGGATTAAATCACCAAGCAAGTCAGGAGTTCACATAGGTTTGGATGTTGTTGTTTTAATCATTACCTTTAGTGCACCAGTCTTCAAATTCTGTTAATAGTGGATTACTGTTGCGTTGTGCTTAATTAGAATGGATGCAGGAGCACCACGAAACCACTAGTCATCTCTTCTACACTCACATATGTGCACCCCCTAAAGGATTCTTTGTTAATATGTTCTGCTCCCAATATTACTCATGAGTAACCAACGGAAGCCTGTGGCAAAGTGCTTGTGAGTGTGAACTCACCCCTAACCATTCCAAATTGTCATGTTAGCCCACACTTGGCCGTTAATAATTTGTTCAAGTTTTAACTGATATCCTCTTGCCTGCCTACGTGGTGGCTACCTCTTACTCCAGTGCCGAAGATGGAACAGTGTGCCCTTGTTACTCTTTGGAGGGGCTTGTCACTCTTTGGAATTAAACTTATATGTTTGCCTTTTCAACTCTCTGATGGGCTCAAGAAAAGTTGTGATTTTGTAGTTTAGCCTTTGGTCAATTTTTAGAATGGGAGTAACATTATTTATAATTTTGTAAATCCTAAGCGGAACTAATTATAGTTTTAAAACATTTTCAATTTTCCTTATAAAAACAATGGAAGTGAAAGTTATATCACTATTTATTCGTTATTTTTATTTTAAAAATATATATTTTTGTTGATTTCAGATAGGAAGGGAGAGGGAGAGAGAGATAGCAACATCAATGATGAGAGAGACTTATTGGCCAGCTACCCCACTGGGGATCGACCCCCCCCCCCCCCCCGGCATGTGCCCTGACTGGAAATTGAACTGTGACTGCCTGGTTCATAGGTCGATGCTCAAGCACTGAGCCACAGCAGGAGGGCTATCACTACTTATTTTTAACTGGATTAAATAATACCTTTCCTAGATACATTTTTTCTTATTCTTTCATTTTATTTTTAAAACTTGGCCATTTATTTGCCCCGCCTTATTTTATAGGATCCTAATATTTCACAGTGTTTTTATAGCCAACTAATGTCCAGACGGTTGAACAGATTTAAACAATTAGTGAGAGCACTCATCCAGTGTATTTCCCTCTGTCTGGATTCTTTTTTTTTTTTTTTTTTGTTTTTTTTAAAAATATATTTTATTGATTTTTTACAGAGAGGAAGGGAGAGAGATAGAGAGTTAGAAACATCGATGAGAGAGAAACATCGATCAGCTGCCTCCTGCACATCTCCCACCGGGGATGTGCCCGCAACCCAGGCACATGCCCTTGACCGGAATCGAACCCGGGACCCCTCAGTCCGCAGGCCGACGCTCTATCCACTGAGCCAAACCGGTTTCAGCTGTCTGGATTCTTAAGATCACTCCAATTCAGATCTTGTCTGAATGATTTGAATTGCATAGGTTTTGGTTTCACTGTGTAAGTCAAATAAACTGCCTTTATTTTGAAATTAAACTTTGCAAAATAATATAAATATTTTAGAGTGTATGGTTGAAAATATATTGCAAATAGTAGGTAGAAATTTTACAATTATAATAGAAGAAATATCTCCATAGACATATATTGAATTAATTGGGCCTTACATTAATATGTATATCAGAAGGCAGAATTAGTTGCAACACTTATGATATGATGCGCCATATAAGATGTTATTCCATTATCAGAAAATTAAATTTTTATTCTTTTATTCTCTATGGATTTTTTGAAATTTAGTTTTTTATTTTTATTGATTTCAGAGAGGAAGGGAGAGGGAGAGAGAGAGAGATAGAAACATCAGTGAGGAGAGAGAATCATTGATTGGCTGCCTCCTGCATGCCCCCTACTGGGGATCTAGCCCGCAACCTGGGCATGTGCTCTTGAGCAGAATCGAACCCGGGACCTTTCAGTCCGCAGGCCGATGCTCTATCCACTGAGCAAAACCAGCTAGAGCTCTATGGATTTTTTTTTTTATATGAAATTCTGTCCACAGATTGTAATGGTAGTTTTTGTTTTGAGACCATCAGGAAACTAATTTTTCCTCACTTGTTTTCTTTGCAGAAAACTTCATCAGCAGTTCGAAATGTATAAGGAGCAGGTAAAGAAGATGGGAGAGGAATCACCGCAGCAGCAAGAACAGAAGGGCGATGCTCCCACCTGTGGTATCTGCCACAAAACAAAGTTTGCGGATGGATGTGGCCATAACTGTTCATATTGCCAAACCAAGTTCTGTGCTCGTTGCGGAGGTCGAGTGTCTTTACGCTCAAACAAGGTACAGAAATGAAAATCATACGTAATAATTCTCTTACAGTTAAGCTTATTGTGAGCAAGTGCAGAAGACAACTGAAATTAATATTCAGATTAACCAGTGCCTTCATTTTAGTTAAAAAAACTTAATTTTTTTTGCGTAAAAAATATATTTGCTTCATTTTTTTATCTCCTTTAGCTTATGATTTGGTTTAGAATCGTAGAATCCTAGACTCTCTAAGATGATTAATAGAATTTAGAGACCTAGTTCCTTTATTTTGCAGGTCCAGAAAACTCAGATCCAGGGAGACTAAAGTTCCTTTTTAAAGTCACAGAACTGACTCTAGCTTTTCCATTGCCACACAAGTTGATCAAGTTTGCACATATGCTCTTCCTTCTGAGAGGAAGAGGCTGCTTTTAGCTTTGAGATTCTGTGTTTCATAATTGGAAAGCTTTTCAAGCTACGTTACCTTTTTATTTCTGTCTTAACATTAATGAAATAAACATTAGACTATGGAATTTCAAGAAGAAATGTTAAGGACGTTTTTCACACTTATACTAGATTTTTGGAGTTTATCCATCCACTTTAGAAAAATGTTAATGCTACCCAAAGAATGTTGGTTGAAATCAGCAAAAGCAGTTTTTAAAAAAAATACTTGACTCAGTAAGTTCTTTAGCATTTGCTTTTATCTCCTCACTAGTATCTTATCAATCAGTTCTTTATTTAGATGGCTTTTAAATAGGAAGCTGATATCTTTAATTACATAGATATAATAGTGGTAATTTTGGTCCCCTGTGTGATTTCATTTATCAGTTTTCCCATTGCTCCCCCTTTCTCATTGTTTTGTTTTGTTTTCTCATTGTTTTATTTCTATTAATTTTTTACGGATCTGAAAAATTATACTGATTTACTGATTATATTTCTGTTTTACCGATTATATTTCTTTTTCTTGACTAGTTGTATGGGCTAGAAATGCCTGTACAATTCTGAATAGAAGTGGTGAGAGCAGACATATCCTGCCATTTTTTTTTAAAAAAATGTGTATCTTTAAAAAAAACACCTTTATTGTTGAAAGTATTGCGGATGTCTCTTTTCTCCCCCCTGTTGACCTCCTCCACCCCACTCCAGATTCACAGACATTGAAGCATGCAACAGACGTATCCTGTCTTGTTCTTGATCTTAGGGAAAAAGCATTGTCTTTCACTATTAAGAATTATGTTAGCACCCTAGCTGGTTTGGCTCAGTGGATAGAGCATTGGTCTGTGGACTGAAGGATCCCAGGTTTGATTCCGGTCAAGGGCACATGCCTGGGTTTTGGGCTCGATCCCCAGGAGAGGACTTGCAGGAGGCAGCCAATCAATGATTCTCTGTCATCATTGATGTTTCTATCTCTCTCTCCCTCTTCCTTCCTCTCTGAAGTTTTGTATTGCTATGCCTTCAAGCTTTCTAATCTTTTCTCCAGCAATGCCAAGTTTTATGTTACCATGTAGTGTATTTTTCATCTTAGACATTTTAGTTTTTATATGTAGAATTTCAGTTGGGGCTTTTTTATATCTTTCATTATCAACTTAACTTTCTGAAATACAGAATATACTCTCATAATTCTGTTGATGTTCTCCTTTGCTAATTCTAGCATCTCTGTCAGTTTTGCATTGGTTTTGATTATTTTCATTACATTATGCTTTTTCCTGACTCTCTGCATGCTTGATATCTCATGTTGGATGCCAGGCATTGTAAATTTTACTTTGTTGGGTGCTGGATGATTTTGTGTTACTATAACTCTTCTTTAACTTTGTCTGGGATGCAGTTATGTGGAAACATTTGACACTTTTGTGTATTTCTGTTATGATTTGTCAGATGGATATGGAGCGGTGCTCAGTGTAGCACTAATTATTCTCTTCCACTAAGACAAGGCTTTCATGAGCACTTTCACAAATGCCCAGGAATTATGAGTTTTTCCAGTCTCGCTGGTGGGATCATCCACTGTTCCCTTTAACCCGTTTAAATGATCCCACCCCATTCCCACTGCTAGGTGTTTTCTCACATGCATGCTCACCGATCATTACTCAGCTGACTTCTTGAAGGGACCCTCTGTAGATATCTCAAGTGAGTTCTCTCTCAGTGTAGCTTTCTTTTCTCTGGTAACTTGCCCTGTGACATCTCGCTGTGTTGCCTTCCTCAGACTCTCAGTTTTAATTCATTCAAGTCAGGATGTCTGCTAAGCTGCACTTCAGTTCCTCTGTCCTGTTCTACCTGAAAAGTCTTTCAAAGTAGTAAGCTGGGACAATTGTAGAGTTTATCTTGCTTATTTCCCATCTATCACTGTCTTTTGTTGTCTTATATCCAACATTAGACCATTCTTTCATGTATTTTGTCTGTGTTTTTTTGTTTGTTTGTTTTGCTGTTGTTTGTTGTAAGCAGGTGGAGAAATCTAGTCCTTGTTACGCCATTTAGGTCAGAAGCAGAAATCTCTCATGACATCTGATTACAGTTTGCTTGAAAATATATTTCTTGATTTCTAACACAGGTCCCTTTATGCTGAGCACTGTTTTTGTCAATAAAAAGTACAGTGAAAAATTGGAATACCCCTTGAAGATCTGTTGCAATTTAATCTACTATAAAATTCTGTATGTTGTGGATTAGTCTGAAGGAGATGGTTAATAGAAGAAGGAATGCGCCCCACTTTACTCATATTTTTTTCTATGATCTGAGGAATGTGTCAAGGGAGTAAAACATAAAAAATAGTCTATAGAGTTTAGCTCAAGAAAGATAACCTGGATTTTTAAATTAGTTTTTCTTCATTTTCATTGAGGTAAGAAACCTGTCATAAGAGTGTCATAATTTACTTGGGATAGTGTCCCTTTGAGTGATAGGTATAAAGGTTGTCTATATTCTAAGTGAAAAGAGTATTGAGTTCAATTTCTCCCTTCAAATTGGATCGTCATCCAGCTGCCTGATGCCATAGAAGAAGGCTTCTGCTTTCAGTAGGTGCTGAATGCATCTCTTTGATTTATCATCACCCTAAAGGATTAAGCCCAGTTAAATTCGGTCACACTGTTTTAATGAAGTAGAATAATGGGAATGCCAATATTTTGTGGCTTACAATGTAATTATAAAGCTATTTAAAAATTAGGTTAGTAACCTTTCAAGAATCAAGATAAAATAACCTGTTGTTTTAATTTTGAGACTCTTAGATGTGGAGCCATCTTTAAAAATGAATTAATTCTTTTTAGTGTATTTAGGATACAAAGAAATAAAGTATGAGACATATAGAAATTCCAATACAAAATTTTATGACATATTACTTCCATTTATTTCCTTCTAAGATGAAACCCCCTTAATAAGAGCTATATATTTAGTCAGATTTAAAAATGATGACTTTATAAAGGAGAAATTACTTTGTAATCATAAAATGATGACTCTAGTAGGAAATTCATTATAATAATTTACAATGAGGATTATTTTAAGCTTCAGGGTGTGGCAAATTAAGTTTTTGTTTCCTTTACTTTTTGGTGCAAAAATATGTTACCATCTACTTAATGGTTAATCTAATTTTGAAATATAAAGAACAATTTTCAGAATTGTATTGTTTAATTTCTAAATGTAACACGAGATTTCCTATCATGAATTATCAGACTTGAAGCAGAATGAATCATAACTTCATAATGATTATAAAAGTGCTGCTTAAACGAGTCCTTTAAAATTATTGGTATATGTGTTTTTAGTACACCAGGCGGGAATAATGGAATGATAATAATGACATGCTCCTTTGTAATGAGTCATTCAGTATCATTTATATGAGTGGTTTTAATGACTAATATTTAAATTGTGCATTGAGAGATAAAATAATGATTAGAGTAGTTTTTTTTTTAAAATATTGTAGGCAGTTCCTTTCCTTTTTTAAAATTTCAAGTCACTGTGTTTACCCCAAATCTGTAGCTAGTGCAACATGCAGTCATTCCCCCTGCATCAAAGGCAAGCATATCGTATGAATTTTCTTTTAGAAATTCTTTTCTCAGAGAATTGCTACATCCTGGTATATTGGGAAAAAATGGGACAGTCTTCAGAAGAGGGTGGCGTTAGTTGAGGAAATTAGGAGAAGCAGGTCTAGTTCCTGCCATGGTATTGTGTGACTTTTGTTTGATGTGTCACGTCATGTCTTAGTGGCTTCTGTGTTAAAATCTGTAAAATGAAGGCATTAATCTAACTAATTTATATGTGTTCTTTTTTGAGTTTAACATTTTATGATTTTAAAATTAATACTTGTTTACTCATGAATTCTTGAAGTCCCTGAAAAGTACATTTATATAGCCAAATAATGTACCACTTGAACAATTTTTAAGAAGAAATTGAGAAGCTTCATTAAGTCTCTGCTGTTACTATGTCTAGCATATTGTGTGTTAAGTTTTGGTTTTTAACTGTTCCCACATTTATATAACATGGGAGTGTTGAGGACACCACTGTTTTAGGAAACTATATTTATAGGAATTTGAGGAATAGGTAAAGTTAGGAAAATTCAGAATTATATAATTTACAGGACTATTATTAAGTAAAAGGTTTTATCAGGTGGACCCTTAATTTTAAGCCTTTAAACTGAGTAAGCTAGAATGTGTGAGATTATCAGAAAATAGCTGTAGAATTTAAAAGGAAGAGAGAGAGAATTGTTTCCCCTCATTGATGTGCAGAATAATGTAGTCACTCTGAGTCCAACCGACAGAATCTTAGGAAACTTTATACCTCCAAATGAGTATTAGTATTGTGGAAGGAGGCAAAATAATGGATTAAACTGAGCATAAAGGGATACATTTTCACCTTGCAAGTTTGTGCTGGAGCCACATCAGCACAAGTTCTGAAGTGAGTCTAAGTTTGAATCCCATCTTCAGCATTTACTAGTTGTGTGACTTGTCCAAGATGCTTAATCTCGGCCTCAGTTTCTGCATCTGTAAATAGAAATAATAGCAGTACCTATTTCACAGCTTTTTGGTGAAGATGAAATTAATTAATTTTATGTGAAACACTTAGATGTATACTTGGCACATAGCGAGTGCTACAGAAGTGTTTTGCAATAATTTTTATGGCATTAGATTTCTTTTTACTTACTGTATATGTCTGGTATCATGTAAGATGCTATCACATATATTTTCTTATTTAATTAATCACACTTGTATATTGGGTTAGTGTATTCCTTATTGCATACATAAACTGCATCTGCCATAATGAATATGTATGTAAACTGAAGCAATATTAATCTTTGAATTGAACATTTATTTTTTTCACACAGAGACTAAATATAATGTTGGAGGAAATATCCAGATGATTCAGGTTGAAATTCACTTTCAAAGAAAGTACCGTTAAAATTCAAATGACCCATATGTTTAAAATAAAAATATTCCTCCACACTAGGTTATTATTTGTATTTTCATGAGATTTTCATCAGTCTTTGTTAAGGTCCTTGATACTATTTTATATTTATACATTACCTTTCATTTTCAAGCAACTCAATTCCACTTTGGTTATTAGTAAGTTTAATACCACTCTTGCAAATACAATGAAACTTCTGACAATTGTATTACTAAAAACTGATTAGAAGACGTATCCATCCTTTTGTTTAGAATTTCTTTTCTTCTGAAGGTTTGCCAGTTCAAGGAGCAGGGTCATCATCCTCATTCTTCCCTTTTCCTTTAATAATTTCCTTGAGAGATTTTGTTCACTCTTATGGCTTCAAATACTACATATGGGCTGATAATTTACAGATACTGTTTTACTAGCTGGATTTTTTTTGAGCCTCCAGATCAGTGGTTCCCAAACTTATTTGGCCTACCGCCCCCTTTCCAGAAAAAATATTACTCAGCCCCTGGAAATTAATTTTTTAAAAATTTTAATAGCAGTTACTCATTGCCCCCAAATGCACCTGTGGCCATCACCGCCCCCCTGGATCGCTGCAGCGCCCACTGGGGGGCGGTAGCGCCCACTTTGGGAATCACTGCTCCAGATCAACCTATATAGCTGCCTACCAAAAATCTCTGCTAACAGACACCTCAATTTCATTCTCCCCAAGGCATTGTCCTCTCCTCCTTCCAGTTACCTAAGCCAGATTCAGGAAGTACTTCTCCACTTCTTCTCTTTTCAATCAAGTCTTAAGGAGCCTTACTTCTCAGTATCTTCTGATCACTTCTCTCCATTCCTCTTGCTCTTACCATATAATTCATACCACTCTGATATTTGTCTCTTACCCCAAATATTGTAACAATTCCTAGTTGTTCTCTCTGTTTCCTTACTCGTCTCCTTCCAATTAGTTTGCACATTGTTGCATAGTGAACAGTCAGTAAATGGTAGCTAATCAGCCTTATTTATAAATCATATTGTAGATTTTATGCTTATTTTTCTATTGAAAGATGATAAAGGTTGTGATGGCAGTATTATTTCATGTATATATTATAGTTAAGTTTTTCATGTATATGTTATAGCTAAAATTAAACTAGTTTTAATCTGTTAAAAGGAATGAACTATTAGCAAATTTATTAGTTATAACTTCAGTTTAAAAAAAATTCTGCCATGTGAGTTATTTTTATCAAAGTGGTATGCTTCTGAGATTTTGTCAGGTATAAATATATAGTTAATAAAGATTTTAGTTCCAACATATCATTTATAATCTAGTTATTCCAGCTATATATTCCAAACATGCCAGTGTTCTTTGTGCTTTTGTGCTTTTTGCATATGCCATATTCTTTGCATAAAATGTTCTCCCTCACTGGTCTTGATAACATTCTCTTCATTCTTCTTTTTATTTTTTATTTAAACATTTACTTTCTTACGTACTTATTTATTTATTTAATTTAGAGGGAGGGAAGAAGGGAGGGAGAGACTTGTTGGTCCACTCATTCATGCATTCATTGGTTGCTTCTTGTAAGTGTCCTCACCTGAGATCGAACCCACAGGCTTGGTGCATCTGGACGACACTTTAGCCAATGGAGCTACCCGGCCAGGGCCTCATTAAAGCCCTGCTTATCTCTTAGAAACTTTCTCTTCATCCTTTCCCCAAGTTCTGGTATATCCTCTTTTATTTGGGTTTCTATAATGCTTTGTTATTTCTTTGCTTTCCGAATATCTCTTTGTTCTGCAATGATTATTTCTAATTGCATTTAGTTCCTTGAGGGCAGAAACCATCCTACTCATTTTTTTACACCTGAGATTTCTAATGTAGAGCCTGATCCATATACAATGGATGCTCTGAAAATGATTTTTGTTGGACTAAATTGTTGTCAATAGATTGATGTCCTTGACTGTGTACAATAGTTAGTATATGATCTTTAGGTCTAACATTTGTAACAAAGCAGTCAAGAACACAATAATGTGAAGAATGCGGTCCTATCTCTTCTGTGCAATATCCTATATAAGATATAGAGTTATATGCCAGACACTGTGTTGAGGGTTTTTCATGCTATTTTATTTAATTCTCATAAACCCTATAAAGGTTTGCATATAAGGAAGCACAGGCTTAGAGAGCTTAAGGAAATTGCACGAGATATACAGCTAGGAGTGTTGTTTAAAAGGTGGAATTTTAAGATAGGTCTTTTTAATTGCAAAGTTTTTACTCTTAGTCACAAGTATTACACTGCCACCCATATTGTAGAGAAAGTGAACCTCAAAACACATGATTTTGACTTTAACTTATATGTTTTTGTGATATATCAGATCATTATTATTACATCATCACTTTTACTATAGTATTGTTATATTTAAACTAGAGGCCCAGTGCACGAAATTTGAGCAAGGGGCTCGGCCCTCGCAGCCCCAGCTGCCTCCGCCCTCGCAGCCCTGGCTTCATCTGGAAGGTCGTTCCACTGTTTGGCCGTCTGGCTGTCTGGTCTAATTAGCATATTATGCTTTTATTATCCTATCTAATAATAGACAAACAGGGTAATTGACCGTACCTTCGCTACGCCTCCCATGGGCTAATCAGCGAGATATGCAAATTAACCGCCAACAAAGATGGCAGTTAATTTGCATACATAGCCCCGAAGCGGCGGAGTGAAGACTGAAGGCGGCTCCAGCTGGAGCAGTGAGGGCTTGAAGGTGGCTTCGGCTGGAGCAGCGAAGACTGAAGGCGGCTCTGGCCGGAGCGAAGGCCTGGGTCCCGGGTGCCGGAGGAAAACTGGTGCCGGCAGCCAGGGGGAGGGAAGGTGTATTGCACAAATCTTCTTGTGCAACAGGCCTCTAGTTATAGATAAAGGGAAATGCAATAATTGAGTTTAATTTTATTATATCTAAAATGTTCTTTTGACCAAATTCTGTGTCTTATCATTTTATTTTCCACATTTATTTTTCTCATTTATAATTTTGGGAAACTATGACTCAAAATTATCAATTTTAATCAGTAATATATTATCTTTAATGACTTTATATATTTGTTCTTTTTGTTATAAAGCTAGGAGACTTCTAAATTAATGGGACAGAGATGACTTTTAGAAACATTATGCATAATTTGCACAAAAATACACTTTGTCTACTACTTTTGCTAGTATGTGATGAAATTAAAGGTAAACAGTGTTGCAGTGTTACATGGTTTTGTACATAAAGTCTTTTACCTTAACATGTTTTAGTTTCTCTTTGAGTTAATTGAATATTTAATTAGGATTTCATTTGTGGAAAGAGCATTCTCCTTTTTCAGATGTTTGGGTATTTAATTGCTTTTATAGAAATTATTCTCATTTATATGTCTTAATACATTCTAGTATATAGTGTGCTCTTAAGTTTTTTCTCTTAAAAAGTTTAGATTTTAGTAAACATTTAATTAGACTTTTTTAGAATTTTTATTTCACTAACAAACTTTAAAAAACTCTTACTTGTTTTAAGAATGGAATTAATTATTTCTTTTTGTTTTGTCTTTTCTGTCCTTTCTAACTTGCTTTCGTGGATATTCACACCAGGAGGACAAAGTGGTTAGAGTCTTTTTTCTGTCTAATATTTTTTTCTTACTGTTGCTATTGCTAATTTTAATTTTATAGCTATATTTAATTTATATACTTTTAAGTTGTAGTGCATGATAATCACTATACATTAAGATATTTTAAGCATGCTATCTGATTTTACTGAAAAACATTATATTCTGTTACAGATAAAAAATGGATTATTTGATTCTTAAAGAGGCCTGCTTCTTTAGAATTTAGTATTTTAGAGATCTTATAGCACTTTTCATTGTGTTAAGAATTCTTTTAATCTTATATTTTCCTAAAGTCCTCATTGTACTGGTCAGAGTTTCTAAAAGAAGCTAGTATAAAAATTCAGTATTTGTAATAATGAATGAGTCACAATAACATTGAACATGGATTTTTCTGAAGTATCTATATACAGTTGAGTATATAGATACTTCATATATTTTTCTTAATGTGTTATAGAAATTGGTAAGATGTCTATCTTACATTCTTATATTAAGTATTAGACAATTATAATTTTAAAATACTTAGGTTTAGAGGATTCAACTCCAGCCTAGGTTTTAAAATTCTGCCCATATTTGTCCTTAGAGGTCTGATTTGGATTTGCTCCCTAGGGACTGGTGACTTCCTGCAAACACAGATAAAATCTTTCTATTCTGATTCTTTAATAAAAAGTTCAGCTTTTTCTTCTTTACATTTTTATTGATCTCCTTGGTGTGTGTTACAGTATTTTATAACAAACGTGAGATATTAATTACAGCAGTGAGTAGGAGGGCTGCAGACGGTTCTGAGAAAAAAATTGCAGGGGTTATTCTTTTCTTTTTTAAAAAATTCTGATTCTTTCTGATGAGTCAAACTAAACTTGAGGTCTAAAAGTTTTGCCAAATTCAAATTGGCATAACACCCAAAGAGGACACCATTTAGCTGAGGTCTTCTGAACAGTGACTCCTTTTTTTTTTTTATATCAATTGGAGCTTTTTTATTCTCCTCAGTCTTCAGTTACTAGGTTGAGGATAATGTAGGTGGTGGCAAATATTGATGTGGTTTTAGAATGAAGTCGCTGAGCAAAAGATCTTCGGGATTGCTTGGTTCGTTTTCTTTGTTAGAATTCCTGCAGGTGAAAAAAATCAATTAAAATTTTGAGGCAGTTTTGAAGGTTAACTGCTGTAGACATGTCCCAGACTGTGCATCCTCCCCAATCAAGGGCAGATGCTCTAGAGCAGCGGTCGCCAACCTTTCGGACCTCACGGACCACCAGTGGTCTGCAGACCACCAGTTGGCGACCGCTGCTCTAGAGCATTTACCAACCTTCTGCTGGCCAACCTTACTAGCTAACTCTAAAGTAGTGCCATTCACGTAATTCAAAGCCTTTTTTTTTTCAGTCTACTTATATTTATTTCTCTTTTTTTTTCTATAGCTACTTCTGTGTCTGTAGTTTTTATAATGAATTCTGACACCTACCCCAGATACTAGGTACTTAATAATAATTCAGCTATGATTTTCATTTACTGACAAGATTTTGTAATGTAACAGTCTATATTTTATACCAAGGATTGACTAACATGAAATGATGCTAATTTTATGTGGATTTGGAACGTTGTAAATAAAATTCAGTAGGTCTTTTTATGACACTCTTTATGCAGTACTGTTCAATAGAACTTTTCATAGTGATGAAAATGTTTTATGTCTTACCCTAGTCGGTTTGGCTCAGTGGATAGAGCGTCAGCCTGCGGACTGAAGGGTCCCAGGTTCGATTCTGGTCAAGAGCACATGCCCAGGTTTTGGGCTTGATCCTGGGAGTGGGTGGGGGGAGGGCAGGGGGGCAGTGTGCAGGAGGCAGCAGATCATTGATTCTCTCTCATCATTGATGTTTCTATCCCTCCCTCTCCCTTCCTCTCTGAAATCAATAAAAATATATTTAAAAAGATGTTTTATATCTTCACCATCTAATACAGTAGGCTCCAGTCTCATGAAGCTATTGAGCACTTGAAATGTGTGGCTAGTGTGGAGAGGAATCGAATTTTTAATTTTATTTAATTTTAATTAATTTAAATTTAAATAGCCCTCTGTGGCTATTGGCAAATGAAACCCCAAGCCTGGATAACAAACATTCTATCTATGACTATTCAACCCCTAAGGCAACACCCTGCACTCATATTAGCAGAATGATGTGCATACTAGGAGTGGAGATGAAACCTGTACAGAATGCAAGAAAGATACATCTGCCAATGTCATTGTCTTATATAGCCAGGGAGGATAATGGCCAAGGGACATCTTTCCAAAGGGCAGAATCGAGAAATATGAATGACAACAACCAGGGGAGAGCCTCCTAAATAGCTGAATCTGAGACTGACAGGATAGCCAAGGAAATGAAGCCATTGTTCATGTAGGGGTTACTGTGTGCCATGGACTGTTGCCCACAATATACTTCTCCTTCTTCCTGTTTCTGAACGAGAGTTTTTGTTGCAGTTCCCTCTTGTTTCTCCATATTGTGTTTTGGGTGTGTTAGGAACAGATAATTTGTCTTTCAGTGCATTGGATCACAAAGATACACACTCAACCATGAAGGAAGGATTTGCTCTACCTCTGAGGTCCTGGATTCAGAGCTAGATTTTATAACTAGACTAGAAGCCTGGTGCATGAATTTGTGCACAGGTGGAGTCCCTTGGCCTGGCTGGCAATAGGGGCAGATCAGGGCCAGCCAGCTGAGGAGAGGGACCACAGGAGGTTGGCCAGCCAGCGGGAGGTTGGCTGTGGGAGCGCACTGACCGCCAGGGGGCAGCTCCTGCGTTGAGTGTCTGCCCCCCTGGTGGTCAGTGCGCATCACAGCTACCCGCCGGTTGTCTGGTGGTAACGGTTGCTTAGGCTTTCATATATATAGATGAGACTTTGGGATTATCTCCCTTTGGGAAGGGGTGACTGTGTTAACATGTAAAATATATGTACAGAATGTTGAGTAGTTGAATGAGGAAACTGTTCTAGATCCTGCTGAATGGCTTTCTTAACAGACATTTTCTACTTCTCCAAATTTCCAATAGAGGGACTTGAAAAATGTGAACTTTTTAGCTTCCTTTGCAATTGGAAATGGCTTTGTGACAGAGTTCTAGTGAATGAGAGATGGAGGAAATTCATAAGGGCTTCTCGGAAGTTATGATAAAAAAGAAAGATGTAGCTGGAACTACCTTTTTTTTTTTTAATGATTTTTTATTGATTTTTAGAGAGAGAGGGAGAGTGGGAGAGAGAAACATCTATGTGAGAGTGAAACATCGATCGCCTGCCTCCTGCATGCACCCCACTGGGGATCGAGCCAGCAACCTGGGCGTGTGCCCTGACCGGGAATTGAACTGGCAACCTTTCAGTGCGTGGGACGTTGCCCAGCCAACTGAGCCACACCGTCCAGGGCTGGAACTACCTTTTAATGCAAAAGTGTTGTCTTGAGCTTCAGAGGCCATTCGTGAAGATGAGGGAAAAGCCAGGAGTATTTGAGTCATTAGTCATGACATTGTTGAGCCACTGATCCAACACCATGCAACACCTTTCCCCAATGTGAGAAGAATACCCAACCCAATCCGTTTCTGCCACTAGTAGTCAGATTTTCTGTTACTTATAGTCAAAAGCATTCTTAATGGAAACATTGGTGGATTTGCAGTGTGCGCCAGGGAAACCAGACAAACATCTAGAGTTGTTCTTTACAAATACAGACGTGGAGCAAAGATGTGCAGGTTGATCATTTCTTTGATACTCAGCTGTCTGCCTTTGCCTGTATGTGATGTTTGAAGTATTAGGGTCAATGAACACATCTGCTCACATATTACACATAAATTAACTCCGGTTGCAAACAGTAGATTAATATGGGTATGTTGGACTTTTTAGGATGCGTGGTACAAGTAAGTACACTAAACTTCCATGCCAAATTATTTGCCATAGGTTAGAACATGTAGCTGGCTGTTTATCTTTTAGTAAATACTGACTTACTCTGTCTAGTGAGAGCATAATGAAATTACAGTTTTGGGAACAAAATGATGCTCATCTCACTGTCTAGAGACAATATTATCTGTCTATAAAAAGACCACTTTAACGAGGATCTTAAATTATTCCTTTTTCTCTTTTTACAACAATTATTAGTTCTCTTACCCGGTATCTCTTGAGACAATAATAAATAAAAATTTCACTCATTGTTGGCAGGTTATTAACCTTTATTGTAAAAAAAAAATGTTACTAATGGTAATGTTGGTGAAGTAAAAGGTGTGGAAGGATGATGAATGTCCTGCAGTATTTCTCACGTTTTAGAAGCATAAAGGCTACCTGTTGGGTTGCAGCTGCAGCGATGATATTCAGAGCAAGGTGCTCTTTGTTTCCACTGCAATCTGATGCTTTTTCTGATTGAAGCACATTATCCAGCTTCCATAATCCTGTACCTATGTTCCTGCCCATTGCTGTTCTCATACAGTGTTGCAATTTAGCATATACTTAAAAGAATTTTTTGTTATAGTATCTTTGGTTGTTCCATTTCATCTAGGCAGTAGCTGCATTTTTGTAAATACTGTCTAAACAATAGTAGAGTATTCGCTTTTGCATTTTTATTCTATCACATAATAACACGTATATGGCCTTAATAAAATTATCCTAGAAACTGGATATAACAGCTCTGTCAGGGCCAACTCCTATAATAAAATCACAAGGTTAACTACTTCTACTGTTCTGTTTCTTTTATTGTAAGCCTAATTGAGTGAAATAGACATTCTTTGATATTACTAAATTTTCCCTGCCCTCAACCCAACATGAGCAGGTGAAATAATAAAAAAACATAAAGTGAGTTAATTATTTTAATATTTTTAATAACAGCGTCATAAAACCAAAATTGAAGTGGGAAGATTTTAAATCTGTTACTTTGATTTAAGCTTCAATATTATTAAAACATTTTAAACTTGTTAAAGTCTCGCATATCAAATGAGCCTAGATAAAACTGGCTGGATCCGGCCAGGCGATGCTTCCTCTCTTAACAT